TGTCTATTAATTACTATCTCCCTCAACCACAGCCACTTTTGGCCAAATATTATACAAATGTTATTTTCTATTTTATGGTACGTTGCGGTCGGTTTGATTGGTATATAAACCCAGTATGTTTGAAATAAATGATTCATATTGCAGAGGCTGAGATCGGCGTTCTGGACTTAACCGGCTGGGCTAGACAGGAAGCGAGACCAGTCAGGACTCTAGGCTGGTCGCACGTGTTTTATGCGTCACTGGTTCGATCGATAATTTGCTGCTCTCTGACTGGTGGTATTGTTGCGTTATACAATAACAGGGCACGCAGGTTCACAAGTTATAACAAATATAAAATGTTCTAACATAATTCATAACATTTATGGTAAAATTATAGGTTTCAGTGACTGATACAGTTCAGATTTGTTAGGAGTAAAATATCCATTACTCATGATACTGAATAATATCTTCGCTATATGAAGAACTAGCTGGGATTGAAATATAAGATTTCAACTCGAAAGTCTAAAAATACATATAATATTTGCTATGTTCTTAGCTATACGTTTATCGCGGAATATGTTTGCTAATTTAGATACGCTGACTTATACGACCAAAATAATGACACATACGCCAGTACGATCAGCCTAGAGTCCCGATTGGTCCTTTTTCCGCCTAGCCCTACCTCTTGAATCCGGCGCTTTAACTAGGTTGGTGGATATGGAGGATCCATCTAGGGGAGTTGGAAAACCCTGATTCCAAACCAATGGTGCCCAAATGGCGTATGAACTAATTGTTGGTCACCGGCTACCATGGGATTGCATCTTCTTACATTGCTCCACCGCCTTATGGATCAGACCTTTAGGTTGAATGCTCCGGGTGTGACCTCTTAAGAAAACCACCTGCTTTGGTCTGGGCACCCGTGCAGTATAATGGCCCACACACAAATCAAGTGCCTTGTGTGGCACATATGTATTCAGTGCCCCTTTGCACCAATATTTACTTGGAATTATTTTACAATTCTCCTCTAGATTGTATTTTAATCAGCTGCATTTCTTAATTTTATACTTTTAAGAATTTTCTGAAGAGAGTTTTTTGTAATTTTATTTTAGTAATTTTCACAGATTGAAATCGTGAGTCAGTTGAAGCTAGACCACCATTGAAAACCTGGAAGCACTGGACGGCCGTTTCGTCCTAGTATGGGACTCCCCGGCAGCACGCATCCACGATCCCGCACCACGCGGGGCTCGAACCCAGGACCTACTGGCTTCGCGCGCGAGCACTTAACCATTAGACCACTGAGCCGGCATCCAACGGTGTTAATGTCTAACTTCAACCAATCCACGAAGTTGCGCCACCATATACCATTGTCTTCAGTGAGCTGATATCTCACAACAGACCTGGTTGTACTTCACTGGTAACGGCTTCCCACTAGAACTCCAGGAGTATCTCTTGAAGTCAGTCACTAGTGAGCAGATGATTATTATCAGAAGGGGTTTGTGGAGATTTTTGGAAAATTTCACAGATTGAAATCATGAGTCAGTTGAAGCTAGACCATTTAGTATTTATAAATAACATAAGTGAAGAATTAGAGTAAGACAGCTGATACTGGTTAGTTTTTTACTGAATCAAATATGGAAAAATTTCAATCCACTAGGTTTCATAACTTTGTGAATATTATCAACATCTATTGGCCGGATACCATCGGTAACAGTCTACTGTGGAAGAGAACAAACCAACTTCCAGTTGAAGAGGAAATTAGGAAAAGACTATGGAAAGGGATAGGAAATACATTACGCAAATCATCAAACTGCATCACAAACCAAGCCCTAACTTGGAATCCTGAATGGAAGCAGAAAAGAGGAAGGTCAAAGAATACATTACGTCGGGAAATAGAATCAGATATGAAAAGGATGAATTATATATATATTCCTTTGTATTAAATCTTATTATTATACACTTGTAGAATACGTTCCCAATCAATTCATTAAACAGAAGATTACTGAAAACAAATCTCTCTAGTTTGAGTGATATTCATAAGACATTTGTATTTCGCTCCTAGTAAACTTATGTAAGATTTCCCTTAAAACTGAAATCATGGATTATTCCATATATTTCGAGTGAGTCTATCTGTTCAAAGAGAATTCGTTTACCTTTTTTCATAATAAAAACTCAGGTGGTTTTTGGTTGGACTTAGTCGATAGGACACTATGCACCTAGGTTTCATTTTAGTTGACATTTGTCAAAAATTCCCATCTGTAATTTTAAGTGGACTGACATTACCTGTAAGATTTGAACTCACGTCCCTTAACCTCACAATGTGAAACTTTACCACTGAGCTGTTTCAGTCATAAATTATAAACGATGCATCATTGAGTAGTGATTAATGTCATGTTTGATTTTTTCTATAAATGTTTCACAACTAAATTAAGCATACACATATCAAATTAATCGATGAACCTTCAAGAAAAACCTGTGACTGTATTCACATTACTAAATGATCACTGTGAATGACCACTGAATATTAGCCAAAAATGTACTGATCTAGTCCTTTGTTCTGAAAGAAGATCATACATCAAGTTACAGTATGACCAACTGTCTAACGGACTCAACGTAACATGGACTATTTTCTAAGAACTACCGATCCTGTTGGGGTTGCTGACAGTCTTTAATGATGCGTCAAAACCGAACAAAACAGTTAATGGAGATACTAGAACACATGAAGATAGCAATTGGAAATAAAGCCATTAGAATGAACTGACTTAGTGTTTGTAGAATAATCAGAAGGACAACAAAATGTGCACAATTAAATCGTCCAGCTCGAAAACCTCATCACCACCAAGAGCAATACCTTAGACTACAAATCTTCTCTATTGTTCTATCCAAATGTTAATCCAATTTTGTCAACAATTTATACACTAGTTCTATCACCATGGAGCCGATTTCGATCAGGGAATTGTTAAAAATCATGGAACGTAGAACAGCTATTTTATCATAATTCGAAGACTTCTAAGAAAAAAGCATTATAACCACGTAATTTGCTATTTTTTCTCGGCTTGTGCTATAACAGTAGATATTCTGTCATATATAAAGTTACTTGGCTATTTCCACTTACGAATGAATAATGGTTTTGCTATATATTAAACCAACAATGGTTAGCTGTTAGTCATATTAGTTGTAGCATAACTTACTAAATCTGTTACACTGATAAAATGATTTCCAATAACTCATAATTATAATCTTATCACAAACGGAAACAAGATAACAGACTTCTGAATGGAACGGTGTACAGATGGCCATTTTGTCAGATTGCAACCGTTTAAAACTTTACAGAGTATTATTCAAGATTTTCAGTATGTATACGAAACAAAACACTTGGATCTGCGTTTATAATAGATTAGTTAATAAGCTTTTTCAGTTCTGTCAACTCATTGATATGATCCGAGGTTAGTATTATTATAGTGGACTCATTTTTCTAAACCCAATCCACAATAAATTATTAGTTTGTAGCTTTTCATCATGGGTGATGAACATCTACTGGTAGTAATCAATACTTAATGCTTAGTGGGTCACTTCAATTCAATGTTTTAAAGACTCAGAGTAAATATGTGATTAGTGGTATAAATATTACGCCTTAACCGTGAAGCATAAAAACCCTGAGTAGGTCGTGAGCACGCACTGCTGAGGACTTTCAAGCTAGAACAAAACAGCTTTCAAATCCTTCCTAATTCTCATTCATCACATAGTTCATATCAATCCATGAAAAGTACCGACTTTAATCTTGTTACTATTTCTTATTCATAAACAATACTAGTTTATACAATTACACACGATAATCGATATTGTTTAGACTAACCACTTAACTCTAATAAAAATGGCTGTGAAGTGAAAAACACGTTCTTTAACTGTAAATACATAAAATAAGGTAAAATTTACTTTGAGCACTATAATATCAAGAGTCTCATCCAAATACTTTTGAATACACATATACATACTAGAACTTATGACTGAAAAGCTCTACAAGATATTAAACTCAATATACATCAGATACCAAGAAAGATTGATTTACTTTAGTTTTAAATTTCAAAAACAAGATAATACGAATCCTTACTGGTATCTTCCTACCCATTAAACAAATTAATAGTTATCTGGACTCAATACCTCAGTGGATAATACTCTGACGTTCAAAGCTAATAATAATGAATGAGAGTCTCAGTGTTAGTATCAATATTAGGACGTGAAGACATTCCAATAATTATTCTCAAATGGGACAAAATCTGAGTCCCGGATTGCACCTTATACCACATTCCATATATATACAGCTATTCAATGCTATCAGGTTCGTAATATTGTTTTTTATTTTATATGAATAATAAATATGAACTTTTTTAAAAATAATAAGTTTATTGAGCTTAGAAACGATAGTGAAAACGAAATTTCGTATTATCCTAGTAAGTTTGTGGAAATTTTTTTAGGAATTGTTTAGCTGAATTAAGTCTTTGATGCAAACTAGGGACTTTTACGAATCCCCTCCCAAATAAAAAGAATAATAACCAAATATTCGTTATTGACTGAATTTGTAACAGAATTCCTGAAATTCCATCTGAAGGTCATTACACATGAAGTTAACTAAATTTAAAGTGAAACTGTAACGCTAACAGATACTACTAAACGTGGAGCATAATATACTAAAGAATGGAAAAAAATACTGAAAATGTACTGTAAAGCTACCACACTAACTGCGATGGTTGAAAGTTATCAGCTAAATACTCCATGAGTTAGTGAATGAGAAGTTCCAAATTACAAAGAAACAGCTGGTACTTCAGAAATGATGTCAGTACATGACAAAAAACTAACTTTAAATCCAATTTAAGAAAATTAGCGAAATTGAAAATGTTAATCTTCGATTTAAACTAATGATCTCCAGTTACTTATATACACAAACCAGTATACTAGTAGAAGTTATTTAAGCTTAAATAAATTATTCAGCTGTTATTGTTTTTATCGTTCATAAAATGACTTACTTCAACTTTCATTTCTTTTGAATATAAAACTCTTGATAATTCAGTCATCCATCCACAAAAAAATGGTACAAATCCAATACGATGTGAACGATATTGTAATGTAATACCTGTTCTACTTTCATTTACACAAAAAAATGATGGTGGACGAATTTTTGGATAACTTGATCTTAGAAATTCATGAAGATTATCTAAACCATTTAAAAAATCACGTAATTCTCTACCAAGTACACGTAATATACCTTGATAACCTTTACCACCAACATATTCAACAAATGATATACCCATACCAAATTTAATTTCATCTTCAGGTATATCTAATAATTTTGAACTAGTTTGAAATAAATTCGGTAATAATGCTTCATCATAAACTTTACGTGTTTCAAATTGAATCTCAGGCGAATTAGCTTGATTACATATTTCAATCCATAATTCTGTAGACCATTTAGTAATAATAAAATTACGTAATCCTTCTAATAATAAACCATACATTGTACTTTATGAAAGAAAAGTATAATTCTTTTTTTCAATATTGTTAACAATATGGATTCTTCAATTCTTGATTAAGATATATATATAATCAACATTCAGTACTGTTTGTACAGTTTAGTTTAATTCAATTATATTCATGATGGAATATTCATATGAATGAATATATACGTAGGATTTTATAAATTACGATACTATATTCATCAATAATAACAATAATAATGATACATTCACTGTTATGGAAAATCTAAACTATACATAAGATATAAAAATAAGTGAAGTATTTAAGGGATTTAGGGTTAATGTTGTGTAATGGCATAGAATTTGTTTAAATATGATCTAAATCCAATGTCCAAGCTATTCAATAATATTTCCTAGAATACAAATAACTCAATATGGATGGTAAGTTTCAACCAGATTTGAAATAATACAATAACACAATGGTGAAATTAACGAAATTATATATATATATATATATATATATATATATATATATATATATATATATATAATATATATATATATATATATATATATATATATATATATATATATATTAATGAATTTGGGAGTAGTATACTATTCTTCTACAAAAATGAATGAATGATTTGTTATCAATTTTGTTGTTGTTTTTTTTTATCCCCGAGATACGAATAATTTTATCCAGTCATAAATACTAAATGAAGGTTAAAGTAGGATATAGAAATTATTAAAAAAAAACAAAAAAAAAACAAGAAATAGGGGGAGAGAAATGTAAATAGCTAATTAAATTGAGTTTTCTTTATTTCAATGTGTTCCTTCTTCTTTTTGTTGTTGTTGTTTCGATTATAATAATTAACAAATAACAATGAAGTGGATTAAATGTATTCTATTAGTGTACAAACAATATATGCATGTACATACACCTTTGATCATGTTTCACATATTCCACTTATTGTATATCGTTGGGCATTTATTTAAAATTTTTGACCTTATATGCTTATCCTAAATCATTTAAAAAGGAGATATTGTAAGATAAAATAGATAACTTTATTTCTTTAATGACAAAATGACATCAATTGAATAAGTGTTAGATACCAAAGTATAATAGACTAATTTGAAATTGATGAGTTTAAACCAGAGGAAATCTATGGCTTTGAAATTTCTCTCTAAGAATGATAAATTCAAATCAATCATTAAAAATTCAATAGTTTACATTATCGAATTTAGTCTGTTCACAATGTAGGGCCAGCGAAATGTCACTAAGCCCTAGCCAAATCATCCGGCAGTTGGGTCATTGAATATCGAGCAAATCATCGATCCTCGTCAAGGTCAAGGACGACCAACGCACATCGGTTAATCGTATGCCATGGAGTGGCCCATGCGTCAGTGGTCTTACTTTCGCTTGTATCTACTTTAACTAATATATTTCTGTAATAACGTCCTCTGTGTTGTACAGTCTTCAAAGCATCTATGATACCTTGATACATCAATGGGGTAGTCCACGTAAAGCGCTGACCACGAGGTGTGACTTCGACGTTAGCTAGCTTGTCACACCATTCACGTCTAACTCAAGTAGGCCTCCAATCATTTTCGACATAGATCATCTACGTTGGTGATCTACAACAATTTTGTATGACTGTCATTTGGTGCTTGCTGAGATTTTTGGTGGTCAGAGTCCGTCGGTAGGATTCCATAGATTTAGGTTTCATGGTAGTTGGAACTCATCAACAAAGTGTGTCTGTAATTTTGAGAGATCTGATACTCTCTGGTGGATTTGATCGTGTCATTCAGGTTTACAGTCAGAGACGTTACCACTGAGCTATTAGAGCCTTAACTCGTCTCATGTAAGCCTGAGATGAATTTAAAATTAATGAACTTGATACACCTAATGATAGTCACTGTTTAATGATTGATTGTGAATATTTTTAAAACGGGACGCTGGAAATATGAGTTAGTTATGATGCATATCTTGTTTCTAGGTTCTCAGTAATATATATATATATATACTTGTTGTGTTTGATTATTAAACAAAGAGATTTCAGGTCTAATAGTAAACTTTTGACTGACTTAAATTTTGTCAGCATAAATAATTGAGTAGACAAATAAATTGTTATAACTTTTCAGTTGAATGCTACTTTTTTATCTGGTTTTAAATCTGGTTATGTCAGAGACGCTTATCACTTATACTCGAACCTCTGTGATTCCCACCACGCGAAAGTAAGAACACAAGACTGGTATAAATGAAGATTTATTAACCACAAAAAACAACCATAATGACGACGACCCTAGTGGAAAATACACTCATTTATATATTGATTGTACACCCATTGTGATTAATAATTAGGATGAAATCATATATATGAAAAATACTTAGAGTGATAACACACCATATACTTGGGCATTGTTCATGTCAATCGAATACAAGAATACCGCATATTATACAGAATAAAATATCATACGAGAAAACAAAACAACTACTACATTCAGTAATCAGCACATTGAATCAAAACGGAAGTAATGTTGAACAAAACTCATGATGAGTAAATCAGTCGAATTTTGACTTTTCTCTCCATCATAGCATGAATAATCATCATAATGACAAAAACCTGTTTGCAATTACTTTAACCTAGTAGAATAAGCTTCTAGATCATTATTAACAACTTCGAAATGGTTTAATATCAGTGGTAATGGGTTTTACCATAGGTATAGAAATCTGTCCTACAGTTGGTCACTAGTGAGTACACGCGGTTCAGTTAGAAAATTCAGCACTACTTAGAAGTTCTAATTTAAGCTGTAACATATATTCAACACTTCCTAAAGTTTAAGGTTTTCTAATTGATTGCAGTCATTGGTGAAAAATGAACTCACCATAGATTAACTTTACAAACCCTGTCAAGAAAACCCAATGACTGATGTATTTGAACTAACCGGATAGTCATAATACTCAGTAACACCCAATCCTGGTTAGTAAAGTACACTAGGCTGGTTACGATAATTTCTTATCCAAAAACAACATGAATACAGTTGCCGACAAATGACTGATCACTACCAGAATAATAAACTCAGCCACCAACAGTCTAAGCTGGTTAGAAGCTCATGACAATACATTGATAACAGATAATCTTGACACTTCTAACTTTCATTACTCCAACACTCACATAATCTTGTCCAAACACAGTGACGTTAAGGACGTCAAATATCCAGGTTCCACTGGATCAAGAAGCTAACTTCCTTGACAAACCCCTTAATACAATACGTAAGTCATTTCATATCACTTTACAATTATATTTAAACAGACCCGCTTGACAAAACTATGACGAACTAAAAGATAAAAATATGTTGGATCTAAAACTGGTAATCTCAAGATCATCGAATAGGTACTTAGATCTTTTGAATAATGGGTATGACTCTCAGTTCAGTTCAGTAGCTAAGATAGGTGAACTTCTTGCATTTTACCAAGAGGTCCAAGTCTTGAAGATACCAAGATTACTCTTTGTACATCAACCCTCATCTCTGAATAAAGACATCTACATAGATTTAAAAAAACGATTATTGAATAGTTGAAAATGATAAGAAGGCTCGGAATATAAATTAGTCGAATATTTATTGGACCTATCAACATACAAACTTGTTCATTTTATCTAATAAAAATACAGATTGGCCGTGATAAGTACTTGCTGTTAGTCAACGTCAGAACTAAGATATGACCGACTATGCACATATCTTAGGCATACAATATGTCAGTACAACACTATGTTAATCCGAATTTTAAAAGTAAGATCAACTGTCAGATTATAAATAAAATTTTTGATAATAGACACAAGAATTGTTTGCAAAACTGTCTAACAACCACTATTTCGATAGGCCTTGTAGACATGACACTGATAGAAGATAGTAGCTATTCACTATCACCTTCCTTGATATTTCTCAAATTATTACTATACGTAGTATGGACTGTTTTCATGTACCTGGTAAAAAAGTATATAGAGATCGCATAACTCCAGTCATATGAGTAGTAAGTGGTTTATTAGTAGTTCTCGTTTTAAACTGACATCAACCAGAGTACTGTTGAAAAAGAGTGACCATTAGACACTTGTTTCGCCCTTAGCATAGAAGTCCTCATCAAAGCCATCCTTTTGCGCATTCTGAATATTTGAATATATGATCAATATCTGTTGTTAACTAATATGATTGTCCTGAGGACATTAAGAGCCATTCAAAATTTCAAGAGTGAGTCATTTTTTGATCTGGAACAAATAGAATTTTCGTACCAAAGAAAAAGAACATTTCACAAAAAGTTAGACATGTCATATTTGGCATTTGTTCGCATTTTTTCTGCCTAATTACTGAGTACAAATTGTAAACAAGGCAATAATGTTTTTTTTTAAGTGGATGTTATACATTAAACCTCGAGTTCGTTGGAACATGTTGTTTGCAGTTAAAAACTATAGTAACATCTCACTCACACTGCAGTACATAGGTTTTGTACACTACTGTATCAGATAATCTTGTTAGTTTATGGTTTCGGGATTTATTACAGTTGAATCCTACTGTTTTATCAACTTACATATAAATATATTTTATAATATAATAAATAAATTCCTGCTAACATAAAGTTTTCATTTTGTATATTTTATTGTTCCAAATATATGAAAGGAAAAATCTTAACTAGCTTAATTAGCTGTTCTTCAGTTAATCGGTTTGAACCTTTGTTTAAAGAATTATTTATGTTAGGAAGAAACAAATGTGCAACTTAGTAATTTACCTACATTTTTAATACAGGGGATTAGTGAAGTTTGTAGAACTTTCATAGTTTATATTACTAACGGATCTTAGTTAGATCATCATTGAAAAGCTGGAGCACGGGCTGGCCATTTCGTCTTAGTAAAGGGACTCCTCAACAGTGCGCATCCACAATCTCGCACTCGGGAATGGAACCCAGAACATTTTTTGACAATTATCACACACGGTAACAATTCTCAAGTTTAAAAGTTACTTGAATAAATGACAAATTATTATTA